CATAAGGTCGTTGGACCGTAAACTCCATGACCTTAAGGTCATTGGACCGTAAACCCTATGACTGTAAGTTCATTTAGACCGCAAACTCAATGGACCGTAAACCCATTGAACCATAAACACATAGGATCGTGAACCACTTTGACCGTAAACTCTTATGGTCATGCCACTTGGACCGTAAACTCCTATGTGAGGCCATACTTTCCTTATATGCAACTCTATGTGGTGTAACACTTCATTACAAGTGTTTCCTAGTCCTTAAGGTTGTTCCATTTCATGATTAGTGGTTATAAACACTAATTATATACCTATATGTGTCATTATATGCTTATTAGGATCCGTGAGTCTGTACTCAAGCCTTCACTTGACACTTAGCATCTTTACCGATCTTACAGTCGCATCACTCACTACAGGTGAGTTCATACCCCCTTAATCTACCTTTTAAATGATTTTAAATGCTTTTATGGGGGGGGGGAATACAAGTTGAAAACATATAGTTATATAATCGATCACATGCGATTTATAATTGTGTTTCAAACAAAGGATTTCTTATACTTTAACTGTGTTTCAAACAAAGGATTACTTATACTTTAACTGTGTTTCAAACAAAGGATTACTTATACTTTAACTGTGTTTCAAACAAAGGATTTCTTATACTTTAACTGTGTTTCAAACAAAGGATTACTTATACGTTAACTGTGTTTCAAACAAAAGGATTACTTATACTTTAACTGTGTTTCAAACAAAGGATTACTTATACTTTAACTGTGTTTCAAACAAAGGACTTCTTATACTTTAAACTGTCTTGTCAATCAAATAGCTTTTAAATCGTTTTATAAACTGACATCAAGTCATCAATATTTATTAATTAAACTTTTCAAATGTTTTACAAAACTTCTTTTTAAACTTATATATTTCCAAAAGCATGTCTATATATGTATAGTTATATAAGTAATGTTTAAAGGACTTAGGACTGATAACTCGCTTTATTTCCTTTTCCTTGTTTGGATGTGGCCTTAGGGTATCGGTTATTTGTCCGAATGTCGTCTAAATATTAGTTATATATTAAGGATACATATGTAGATATAAAAGTACTATCAATCAGTTCAGTACCTTTGAGTAGCAAAGGCATACCTTCATTCATTCAAACTACAGAATTTACCAGTAAACTATAATAGGTATAGTTTAGGAGAATACTATCATATACAAATACTATAACGAGATACAATACATACAATACATACTATACAATAGAACATACTATGAAGAGAAACTAAGGAAACTTACACCATACTATACATAAGAATATACTATACAAACATTAGAATACGATAACTAGAATGTGACATACTATTTAAGGATACAACAAGACAGTGTTGTATCATATTGTAACCAGAGTCTCCTGGAGGAGAGCGGGCATTGTGTGTATAGATCTATATGGGACAGACACTCCCACACCCCGACTGCTAGCTACAGTCCTAGCCGATAAGGCCAAGGGGTGACAAAATGTCACCTTACTATATTATGACACCGGAAGGTCATCAGTTATTCAGTCGTCGATCAGCATGGTTACAAACGAGTTCACATTTAAACCTTTAATTAACCGACTAAGGATTAAAGGCAAAAAGACTCCCCGAGGGGTATTGTACATTTAATACTACCTGGAGTCTGTATTTTATCACTTTATAGCCAGCAGTGTCACTGCTGAGGTAAAACATTATTTTCCCTAATACTTTTACTTTGTGATCTTCTCACATATTCATTAATGTATAAACTATATTTAATTAATGATAGTCATACTTGGGAAAATACACACTTTTACAAGAAACAAACATACAGAACATTTGATGCCATGGTAGAAGGCTACTTTTAGTAGAAAATATAGGATTTTCTAGGAGATACAATTATTTACTGCAAACATTTACATTGAAAACTTACAAACAGTTTCTTCAAACTTACAAACATTTTCATACAAACAATGACACTAATTACTTATGAACTCATCAGCTTTAATGCTGACAAACTCTTTCAAAATAACTTGTATTCTCAGGTCACCAGTAGACAGGTACAGTCGACCAGGTTTTTGAGAAGATGGAGCGTGTTCAAGACTCGTCTTTTATTTTAATTACTTGTTTTGATGTATTTTTACTATGAAAGAACACACTTGTATTAAATTATACTATTAATGCAATGGATGATGTTGTTGCTTGTTTACTACTTTGCATTGTTATGATACTGTACATGACGTCCTCCACCCCAGAACGTTTCCGCCGTTCCGGGTTTGGGGTGTGACATATGTGTTTTCAGACCACTAGCTTCATATGTGTCCTCTAATCTAGCCTTAAGTTATGTTTAGGTTTTGATTTTATTTTAATTTTTAATAAGATGTCTATCCTATGAGTATTTGTTTGTGTGGATATGTGAAAAGGAAATCGAAGTAGATGCTTCTTTCAATATAATTTGTTTCGATATTGGTGGAAATTGAGGATTTAGCAAATTTCAGCGAATCCTTGGTTAGTTGGTTTCTAGTAGGATGGAATTAAGTGATTTGATTAAAAATGTTTTTTCTTAACCCAAAGTATGTGTTGACAGACATTATAATCATGTAGATTTGCTAAAGATCATCACTAGCTCCATAGAGCCAATATTATTATCTAGAAGAAGTTACATTGTTCTAGAACGCTCTGGAAGATTCTAGAACATTATGGAAGACTATGGAAGACTCCAGAATATTCTGGAAGAGTCTAGAATACTCTAGAACAACATGGAAGACCGTGGAAGGTTATGGATCATTCTAGAAGACATTGGAGCATCCTAGACGTCTCCAGAATATGGTAGAACATTCTCGGAACATATGGAAGCTTATATAGTATATTAGATAGTTCTAGAGTTATCTAGTAAGTAGTAAGTGTATACTAGTATCTAGAACCTTCCTAAGAGGCCTATAAATACGTGTGGAGCTCATTTGCTCTAAACCATCCAAGAAAAGCCTCAAAGAAAGAAAACGATGTACTAGTCTCTCAAAGTTTAAATTCTTCTAAAGTGGTCTTAATAAAAGTATTGTTGTATCCCACATAAAGAGTCGTGTTCAACAATTTGGTATCAGAGTGAGCTTTCTTGATAGAGAGAACGAGTGATTCTCTTTGTATCGTGAGTAGTCTACGAATCTGCAAGTTTAGTGTCGAAACTAGCTTGTTTGGTATTACCGAGGTACTACCAACACGATGGGTGATCTCCAAGTCGTCGGAGGAATCAAGAAACTTAAAAACAACTACAAGACAATGGAAACATGTATGAAGTATTACTTACAAGTACAAGATTTATGGGAGGTTGTTGGCGGAAGCGAAACTAAGCCACCAGAGGAAGATGTTAATGGTGCTCTACGCAAATGGAAAACCAAAGAAGGAAAAGCGATGTTTTCCTTGAAGACCACAATCGAAGAAGAGATGTTGGAGCATATTCAAGATGAGAACACGCCGAAAGAAGCTTGCGACACGTTTGTGACACTTTTCTCAAAGAAGAATGATACGATACTACAATTTTGTATAGAACGAGCTATTATCATTCTCACAACGTGACATGACAATTGCTCAGTATTGTCAAAAGGTCAAGTTGATATGTCAAGAGTTTACTAAACTAGATCCCCAATACATCATTACAGAAGCTCGAATGAAGAGCATCATCATCCATGGACTGAGGCCAGAATATAGAAGCCTTGTTACTGCTCTACAAGGATGGCTAAGCAAAGGGGAGGCATCACACTAAAGAGTGAAGAGGAGGTGATCTACATAAGTAAAAGTCAGGGGAATTCCAAGGCACCTTCTAAAGAAGGATATAAAAATGCTGACAAAGGGAATAGTCAACAAGAAACCTCACAACCATGGAGATCTCAAAAGACCGACAATAAGCGTTTTCGGGGAAGAAGGTTCGAAGGAAACTGCAACAATTGTGGAAAGTGGGGCCACATGTCTAGGGATTGTTGGTCAAAGAAAAAGTCTGTGGAAAGCAATGTCGTAACTTTCAAAAAGGAAATAGAGGATGAATGGGATGCTGAGGCATTATGTGCCATAGAAGAAAACGAGTTGGCACTTATGGAAATGATGGGAGAGTGCACGAACTATGAAAATGACTGGATCATTGATTCAGGATGCTCCAACCACATGATTGGTGATCAGAACAAACTACAAGATGTGATGGAGTACAAAAGGAGTAGCATGGGACTTACAACCAACAATGCACAACCTCCAATTGCTCAGATTGGAAAAACAACGATCACTCCTAGTAATAAATCTGACATGGTGTCACTACATAATGTCTATCATGTGCCAGGTTTGAAGAAGAACATGATGTCAGTGTCGCAACTAACATCATCTGGAAAATATGTATTGTTTGGCCCACAAGATGTTAAAGTATATCGAGATCTTAAGATCTCAGAAAAGACAACAATGGAAGGAAGAAGATCAGTGTCTGTCTATGTGCTATTGGCAGAGTTTGCATATGTAGACAAGACTTGAAAGAATGAGACAACAGATCTATGGCCTGCATGATTGGGACATGTTGGTTATCACAAGTTGAAGGTAATAATGGAGAAATACATGCTCAATGGCTTACCTCAATTTGGAGTCAAAACAAATGTCATTTGTGTTGGATGTCAGTATGGTAAAGCTCATAAATTACCATACAATGAGTAAAATTTTTGAGCAAAGAAGCCATTAGAGTTAATTCATTCGGATGTGTTCGGTCCAGTCAAGCAAACATCAGTTAGCGAGATACGGTACATGGTGACTAGGCTCAGAGTTTCTAGAATTCAAGACAACGGTCGAAAGAGAAGCGAGAAAAATTTGAAACATTCTCAAAGTTTATTGAATTCATTGATGATTATTCGAGATATGTGTGGGTTTTCTTTCTAAAAGAAAAATTTGAAACATTCTCAAAGTTTCTAGAATTTAAGAAAACGGTCGAAAGAGAAGTGAGAAAGAAGATTCAGTGTCTACTCTCAGACAATGAAGGAGAATACACCTCAGAAGAATTCAATCGCTATCTGTAAGAATGTGGTATACGTCATTGTTAACGTATCCCTCAGGGGAATGTTAAGAAAGAAGTCTGAACAATCATCAATTCACATGTGCCAACACACTTCAACAAAATGGTGTAGCTGAGAGAAAGAATCGACATCTTGTAGAAATTTTTCGAAGCATGCTACACGCAAAGAATGTCCTATGAAGATTTTAGGCTGAAGCAATGCGAAGTGCTGCCCATGTGATCAATAAACTTCCCCAACCAAGGTTAGGTTTCATCTCACCATATGAGACACTATGGAACATGAAACCTACTATTAGCTTCTTCCGAGTATTTGGTTGTGTCTGCTATGTATTTGTGCCTAGCCATTTATATAGCAAGTTTGACAAGAAAGCATTCAGGACTATATTTCTTGGATATGACAATCAAAGAAAAGGGTGGAAGTGTTGTGATCCAACAAGTGGAAGAAACTACACTTCAAGATATATAGTGTTTGATGAAGCATCTACATGGTGGTCCTCAGAGAAGAAAGTATTACCAAACTCGGAAAATATTGAAGAAGTTCTAAAACAAAAGATGGGGGAGAAAACTGCACACATTTGGTCAAGTGTTGATATACTGTAACACGCTGTGTATTTATTAAATAAATAAATAAATTAATGAATGTATAGTAGCCCTCAAATCAATAATTATACGCAGGGTGTGGGTTTCGAGGAGTTGATTGGCATAACTCGGAAGTTGAAGGTTAAAAGTGTAATTTTCGGTCTCAGTTTATAATATTTATGAAGACAGGGGCTCCGTGGTAATTACTTGGATTTAATTTAAAAGGAAATGAGGTGGAAGGGTTGATTATGTCATAATTAAGATATTGGGGGCTGTTTGGTAATTTAGGAGACGTAATTTGTAAGGGATTTCCATGGATTGGGTTGAAAGGGTAAATATGGGATGACATTTGAAAGAAAAGGGGCATGGAGGGACTGATGTTGCCACTATGACAAACTTTTAAGAGGAGCAGGGTATATAATCACATTTTCAGTCAAACCCTAAACCTAAACCCTCCCTTATGCAGTAGCCGTTACCCCTTCCCCCCCTTGTGCCTCTCAACTGCCGGTCGCCACCCCATTCTACCTAGCTTCTCCGACCGACCCAGGTCACCGAAGGACCGAGATGACCGGCGACGACCAGCGCTGCAACGTAAGTCTCCAAGGCCGGAGCAACTGTGAGCAATCACCGCCATCATCCCTTCGCCACCTCAGTCGCGTTTTCTCTCAACTGCCGCCTGTTTCCATTGAAGGTGATGTTGCCGGAGATTCGTGTGTTCTCCATCAATGCATGTGTTGACTGGATGATGGGAAAAGACCAAGAGGAGCCTTCGCTACCACCGTGAGGTGGTGGCTGTTATCGCAAAACCACCTCCTGCTGTTGTTTCTTTCCATTTCTGTCATCGCTGCCTTGTCTCGTCACCACCAGCTACCATGGGAGTGGCCCTGAGTTCGCATGGATGTGTTTCAGCTCCAATGCTCATGTGTAGGGGTGGCTGTTCGACTGGGAACCACTAGTAACCACCGCCACCACCACGAGGGGGTGGCTGCCGACGTGAAATCACCATTGCCGTTGCCATACGCCACCAAATAGGTGGTTGGTTTCCCATTCCGAGCAAGAGTCGTGTTTTATGGGTGTGAAGCCGGAAAATCGTGGAAGACTACCACTGCCACCACCGTGAGGTGGTGGCTGCCGTCGTGTACCACCTTGGGTGGGTGTACTTTCGTGTGTGTGTATTTGTAATTAGATTAGGGTGTGCGTGTTTTAATTAGATGGGCATTGTAATTGTAACAAGATGGAATAATGAGAAAGAACCCTAACCACCACCGTGAGGTGGTGGTTGCCGCGTCCTGCCGCCACTGGCCGCCGTGTCGGGTGGCGGTGTGCTTAGTTGTGTTGGAATTGATTTTGGATGTTTGAATAAAGGACTAAAACCCTAATGGGCCTATTAAACCCTAATGGGACCAATGAAGCACTAATGGACCCAAAAGCCCAAACATGTGACTAATGGGTGTAATAAGCCCAAATTGACCTAAGGAAAACCCTAATGGGCTTAAGGACTTGGTTTTGGATCTATTGGACTAAGATGGGTTTGGAAACCCTAATTAGGGTTTAGAAAACCCTAATATTGGATTTATGGGCTTGGACTTATCGGGACCCACATTTGGGCCATTGGAATGGAAGTGTGTATTAAGCCCAATCACACCATATGATTTATTTAGAAGAGTGATGGACTTAGTGGATTAAGTCCTTAATGGGTTAAGTAGGAAACTTAACCCTAATCATCATTTTATGTGAAACCCTAATTTCACTTGGGTTTATTGTTGGGCCTCTTTATTGGGCCTTGATGATTGGGTTACTAATGGACCATCCAAAGTCAAGAAATTGGACTAAAATAATTTAATGGGCCTAGGGTAAGGCCCATGTAAGGGGTTTGGGCCCAATTTGGAAAATTGGGCCATAGATGGGCCATAGTTTGGGCCTTTATGATTATGTGATATTGGGCCATTAGAATACCAAATGTTGGACTGGACTAATTGGTTGGGCCTCAGTATAAGACCATAGAAAGGTTTGGGCCCAATTTGGAAAATTGGGCCATAGGTTGGGCTTTGAGCCATAGTTGGACTTTTAGACCTCTGGATTGGGCCTTGGGCTTGAATAAAGCCAACCTTGGGGTAATGTAGTAATTATCCAAGTATGTATTTATGGTTATGTGTTGGGACCGAATTATTAATTGGGTGATATTTGATATTGACAGTTCAAGAAATCTGTCATCCAGCAGCTGAGGTTGAGTCTGCGGTACTTCAGCAATGTGGGGTTGAGTCTATGGGACTTCAGCAGTGTGAGGTGAGTTACCTTCCAGTAGCGGTGGGTTTACGGCCACAATGCCGGCCCACCAGTAGGAGTTGTATGGTAGATGATTGTCTTTGTGATATTCATCTAGGTTTGCTACTACCTGATATGTTATATGCTAGCATGATATGTTATATGTGATAGTGGTAGTAGGGGGAGAATAGTCCTCGAGGTTCGGTTGTTAGGACCGAAGGGTAGGTCGGATACCCCAGATATGTCTGACAGTATGTTATGATATGTTTATATGCTTGCATGATATGTTATATGTGATAGTGGTAGTAGGAGGGGAATAGTCCCCAAGTTCGGTTGTTAGGACCGAAGGGTAGTTCGGACACCCCAGATATGTCTGATAGTATGTTTATGTTATGATGTATGTGATAGTAGTAGTATGGGGTGGAATAGTCCCCGAGGTTCGGTTGTTAGGACCGATGGGTAGGTCAGCACCCCAGAACGGCTTGACACGGGTAGGTCAGCACCTCAGAATGACTTGACACAGGTAGGTCAGCACCCCAGAATGGCTTGACACGGGTAGGTTGGCACCCCAGAATGGCCGTACCGGGTAGGTCGGTAACCCAGAATGGCCGTACCGGGTAGGTCGGGCACCCCAGAATTGCCCGGCAGTATGTATGCTATGTGATTGTATTGTATGTGGTATGATGGGGGAACTCACTAAGCTTCGTGCTTACGGTTTACAATATTGGTTTCAGGTACTCGTTTTCAAAGGAAAGGAGTCGGCTTGATCGCAGCGCATAACACTATGTTTTCCGCACATGAGATCTTTGGGATTACACTCTGATATGGTTTTATGATAATATGTTTTGATTAATGAGGCTTTGGCTTGACACGAGATATTATTATGAATGTTTTTATACTGATGGTTTTATGTAATAACTTATTTAAAAATGAAATTTTTGGCCTTGAATTTTGGGATGTTACAAGTTGGTATCAGAGCCTTGGTTTGAGGGATTCGGACATACTCTCGGGTGTGTCTGAACTCAAACTAAGGGCTTGGTATGAAAATTTTCAAAAGTAAAACCATTTTATAAAAAGGAGTTGAAAAGAATCTGAAAAGAGAAAAGAACTTTGAGAAGAACAAAGTGTGTGATGCGTGCAATCAGCCGAGCTCAAGTAAGTTTTTCCCCAAGATACCCATACATGTTATGTTATGGTATAATATGATATGATTATGAGAATTGAATGCTAGATTAGGGCTAAGGATCTAGGAGGATGCCTTATATGCCTATTGTATGTGCTTGTAGACTTGCATGCTAGTACTGACCAGTCAGTAAGAGGATAGCCTGTTTAGGTTATGCCTGATTGTATGAGCCTTTGAATTGCATGTACAGATTGCAGATTAGAGGATAGAATGATTTGATTGGAATATGATGGTTAGATTTTCCATCGTCTGAATGCTGCTTGCTTTCTGCTTTGTGGGACTCTTAGTAATGTGAGCTAACTATTAAGTGAATATGCTAAGTCACATGGGATACAGGCCGGATAATCTCAGAGTGAGAGACTTGACCCTATTAGGCAGCTCTTGTCTGAGTCCAACCGTTCTAGGGATGGGTCTTTTACTCGAAGGATTATCTGATCTCTGTTGCATGTGGCTATATTCATGAGGTAGCTAGTTGACATTACTGGAAATCTTTCAGCAGCTGAGGATTGGGTAGGTACGGGAACCTAGGGAAGCCTAGGATATGTTTTAGTGGGTTAGTAGTGAGGCTCAGTGAGACTTGGGTGTACCAGTTTGAGGAAGTGACTTGGAGGATCCGGGAGGATTGATGAGGAAAGTATGGATAGGTGTGGAAGGTAGTATTGGACCCGTACTACTGAAAGAACAGGATCCATACTCGAATCTGTGAGAGTCTTGGAGAATCTGAGAAGCTTTGGGGAGAGTTTGTGACCCGGTTTGGGGACAGAGGATGTTCCAGTGTTGCGGCTTGGCCATTGGCAAGCGAGCTAGTGAGCGTGACAGGGTGTCAGACCCTGAAGGATATGATTTCCAAGAGTTGTAGATGCGAGATCAATTTGGAGCACCCTGGAAAGAGAGGGTTGTGCCAGGTGTGTATAGTAGAGGGTCCCGGGAAGAGACCCATGACTTCTGATCATCGGGTGAAAGGCCAGCTGGGCCGGAGTCAGTGCAGCACATACAGGAAAGTGCGTAAGGGAGTTTGTCGCTCCAAGGGTTTAGGTTGCTACAGGGTAGCTGGGTTGGTCATGTCAGCAGAAGGTGATCAATATTCCTCCAGATGTTGCGGGTATGTCACCTTCTGTTGCTACTAGATGGATGTTGGGATACGTATCACTTTGGGATCGTAAGTGAGTTTGGACAAGTCAGATATCGAGGCGGTTTTCTGCTAGTGTTTGGGTTATCAAGGATCATATATGCCATCCTGCATATCGAAAGGTCCTTGATGAACCCACAGAGGGACGTACCTTGCGGTGCGGGTTTCGCGTGTACCGTTATCATTCCGGATCTTTGTCGAGATCTGTGTAGGAGTATTGTTTGGAAGATCCTCGGTCATTAGTAGGGCGATAGTTCTCCAGTGAAGTCAGCGTTTAGAGATTCTGTCATTGTTCAGGTATGGTCGGTAATTGTCTATGGATGAACTTTAGAGTTCAAGGCACTACCGTTGCTAGGACAGAACTGGTGACATGAAGAGGGTAGTATCAGCCGCGGGTGTTAGATGCATAAGTGGTTGGTCATTGGATGTTCAAGAGAATTGTGTTTTCGCATGGGCTGTGTTGGGTTGGAGTTCAGTGGTACTGCAAGAATGGGAGTGGGAATGAGGATTCGTCAGCTAGAGTGAAGATTAAGGTCTTCAATTGACAGCATGTTAGATGGATCGAGGTGTCAGACTAGATCAGATTTCAAGAGTACTCATCGATATTTCCGAGGATGGGAGATCTCAAGGTTTAATCAGTGATTAAACGCTAGCATTGGAAGGCACAGGTTGTCATCAGTGGGATATTAGAAAGCGAGGAGGATTGGTAATCCTTCAATTCTCATGTAATGTGAAGACTTAGCTGAATCTAAGTGGGGGAGAGACTTTTTATAAAGTTCTCCAACTGTGAGTTCTGGTTGCGCGAGGTGCAATCTCTTGGGCACCTTGTCAACCAGAAGGGCATTCCGGTCGATCCGGCCAAGATAGAGGCCGTGATGCAGTGCGAGATTCCGAGGTCTCCAACCGAGATTCGGAGTTTCCTGGGTCTAGCGGGTTATAATTGGAGGTTTTTACGGGACTTCTCCGAGATTGTGGTTCCTTTGACCCGACTGACCAAGAAGTCGACGACCCTTCGCTGGGGGCCTGGGCAGAAGGCAGCCTTCGAGGCTCTCAGACAGCGGTTGCGCGAGGCACTGATTCTCAACCTGCAAGAGGGTGTAGATGATTTTGTGGTTTACTGTGACGCTTTGATCACGGGCATGGGTGCGGTACTAATACAGT